GGGGCCCCCGTGGGACGGTCCTGTGCCACGCGCCGGTAGGAGAAGAAGCAGACGGCCAGGAGCAGCTGCAAGAGCAGCCCGGGGAGACAGTGCCGCCAGGGACACTGGAGCCGCTCCATGGGTCGGGGCTGCTGGGGGAGAGGAGAGCATGGAGGGTCACGGACGACAGTGCCCACGTGTAGGGGGAACGTGCGTCGCAGCGAACGCTGGAGATCTGCGCTGGGAAGGGTTCGGATCCCTAGTTCACAGAGGACGAACCTGGAACTCGGCCAACAAACAGCAGGGTGGATTTCTGTTCCACCCTCCCCGGAAGAAAGTTAACCAGAGACTCGCCACAGCCCAGTGGACCCCACATAGGGTTGCAGGAGAGAAGGGATTAGCGGCACCAGTCCCAGCAGACAAAAGGTCGATGCAGCCCCAGTGGTCCATCCCCTGGTGGAACATTACACAGCCATGAACAGGGAGGAGCCCCAACAGCTGATACGGAGTGAATGGACCTCCAGCTTTGGCCAGCCAGAGAAACCACACACAGAGAATGCACAGGTGTGTGCAGAAGAAGATGCATGGAGAGGGTGGGTGACTGGAACATACCGGGGCTGGCGTGTGGCCAGAAAAGGAAAGGAGCGAGCTGGCTAACTGCTTGTCCATGGCATTGTTTTAGGAAACTGTGGACTCCTTGGGGCCAGGCAGGGCTGGGCAGGAACTTGAGCAGGACAGGTTGGGGGGCAGGAGGTTGGGGCTGAGATGTCACCCAACATTGATCCCGAGATCTTTTTCCGAGAAAAATGCTGAAAATTGCCACTTGTTTTGCCTACTTAGTTGGAGTCAGGGTCTTGCTCAGTTGTCCAGGCTGGACTTGAACCTGGTATCCACCTGCCTCAGCCTCCCATTTGCAGGGGTCACAGGTGTGCACCATGACTCCAGTGTGAAAAATCTCTCTTTGTTGGGACACCACAGACACAACGAGACAAAGACACACACACACACACACACACACACACACACACGCACACATGCACGCACACACACACACACACACACACACACACACACAATCGCTATCACTCTCCCATCAGCGAGGAGAATCTGAGGTTGGAGGAACGAGTTGACCCAGCAGCTCTGGGGGTCCAGGGAGCAGGTTTCCATCCCAAGCTTGGCCAGGAGGGAGGTGACAGCACTGTGTCCCTGTGACCCTAACCCACCAGGACCTGCGACCCCTCCCTGCCCCATCGCCCAGGGAGACCCTGGCCCATGACCCCAGGCTGCTGCCCAGTCTCAGGCCCCTCTGGAGCCTCAGACCCCAGCACCCTTGGGTGCAGCCCGGCTGCAGGATGAACCAGAGCCAGGGGGCTGGGGCGGAGAAGAGATGGGGAGAGGCCGGGGCTAGAGGGTCCCCCATGCTGGGGTGTTTGGGAATCCGTCCTGAGAGCCCTTACCTGGAGGCCACAAGCCGCTCCCTAGGAGCCCAAGGACGGGGGACAGCTGCTTCTCAGGGTGCTGATGGAGCCAACAGGAGAAGGAAGGAGGAAGTAGGCACAGCTGACACCTGGCTCCGTCCAGCTCCCCGCACCGGTCGTCAGGTGACCCAGGGTGGCCTGTCAGGAACAGACCCAATCCGTCTTCCAGAAGACTTTTGGCACTCCCTAATTAGTATCACTTGACTAGATAGGAGTGGTACAGAAAGCTCAAGATTGATTGCACCTGTGCCCTTGTGCGAGGCACACAGGTGACTCCTCCAGAAGTGCAAATTTTGGCTAAAACCACTGGTTCTCAAAGTTGGTGGCAGAGGGCACCCACGGTTCCTTGGAATGGCAGGTGAGGATCGGCCAGTGAGCAAAATCTCCTCTTTTCTGCCTTTACTTCCACCGGAGCCTCCTCCTCTAAAAGAGGCAGAAAAGCATTTCCAAGTGGAGGGCATAATGTCAGCAAAGGCTCCGAGGCAGCAAAGGACCGGGGATTTAGGAGCCCCTGGGGAGACTCAGGAAGCTGCACCTTCAGGTGTGAGAGATGAGGACCGGTGCTGAGGTCGGGGTCCCACGGAGCCACATCTGACAGAGCCAGGGAGGTGGTGTTCGGCCGCTGTGAGGCCACGGGGGCCGTGCCAGGGGCCGAGCACAGAGCTGACGCTCACGGCTTGGCTGTGGTTTGGGGCAGGCCAAGGCGGGAGGCCAGTCGCAGGAGCTGTCAGCGCCGGGTGTCAGCCCAGGTCCAGGGCTGGCTGCTGGGGTGACTCAAAACCAATATCTTTCTTCCTCTTCCTCTCCTCTGGCTTTTCTTCTTTTTTTTCCCCCCAGCAGTGGGGATTGATTGAACTCAGAGCCTTTGCACTGCATCCCCAGCCTTTTTTTATATTTTTATATTTTTGAGACAGGGTCTTGCTAAGTCACTAAGCTGCCATGCTGGCCTCGAACTTGCAATCCTCCTGCCTCAGCCTCCCAGATTGTGAAGATGACAGGTATGTGGTATTGTACCCAACATTTTCTTCTGTGAGCCCTTAGGTCACTAGAGAATGCCAGAAGCCTCCTGAGTTTCCTGGGTGGGCGAGAGGAATTCCAAAAGACCAGTTTTATTATATGTGCTGGAGGACCAGTTTTGAGAGAAGATGGTCTTAACCTGCAAGAATGTCCCTGTTCTTCAAATCACTTATGCTTACGAGGGCAGGAGGCTGGGAGTTTCCTGGAGCCAGGTGATTGCAAACACTTGACCTGGGTCTATTTAGTGCCTCTCCCTGGCTGGCTGGGATTTGTATGACTTTATTGAAACGTAACTAATTGCCTGTCATCTTGGTGTCACTATGTCTTGGGCTCCTGGTCAGCCAGCTCATGGCCGCCAAAGCCCTGGAGGGAGACTTCCTTCCTCACAGCCATTTGCAACCTCAAATGTAGCAAGCTGCCGGGTGTCATGATGCACAACTGTAACCCTAGCACTCGGGAGGCTGAGGCAGGAGGATTGCCGCAAGTTCATGTCCAGCCTGGGATACACAGAGAGTTCAAGGCCAGCCTGGACTACAGAGCGAGACCCTGTCTCAAAAAAATCAGAACAAAAACTTTGTTTTTCTTTTTTTGCAACTGTACATGCAGGCCGCTGTTCCTGCAGAGCCGCTAGCCACCCCTCGGAGCTCAGCACACAGACACCTCTTTCAGAAAGTCCTCCTAGACAGCCGGATCCGGCCCTCTAAACCAGATCCGATTTCTCTTCCTTCTTCCGGTTCCCACAGCTGCCTATCACTTCCTCTGCTAGGCCGGCAGCCTGGAAAGAGGGGATCGACAAGAGAGCAAGTAAGGAGATAGAGGAGAGCAAGTAAGGAATTGGGTGATTTTTATAAATCTAAATATAGGTCTCTAGTGGAGGGCCCAAAGCTCTGCCCACTTCGCAGTGTGATGCAGGTGTTTCTGTGCCATCTGTGAGTGTGAGAAGTACACGGTGAACGTTTACTCTTTAAAAATGTGTTACAGGAAAAGTCATGCTGCCAGGAAGCCCCCTCAAAATACTGTCCCTCGCTTTGAACTCACTTTTGTCTCGTTGCTGTGGCCTCTTTCTGCAGCAGTTCTGGAAAGCTCTTTCCTGAGGGTCTTTACAAAGCGTGATTACAAATCTAGTGACAAGGGATTTAGCTCAGTGGTGCCGGTGCCTGCCTGGCAAGCGCAAGGACCCGAGTTCGATCCCCGGTACCAGGAAAAAAACATCTGGTGACTGTTACTGCTGAGTTCCATCCAACAGGAAGAAGGCCACCCGGGAGAACACGAAGGTGTCCTCTTCCACCTTAGTCAATGGGTCTGGCACCTTGCGACTTCTGGCTCCTCCCAAAGTCAAGACGCCGGGAAAGGTCAGACTTGAACTGGATGGAGGCAGCCATGACAGCACAACCGAGACATAGGAAAGGACTTCGGAAAGTAGCAAGAACAACGGGAGGCGTGCGCTCGAAAGGAGGGGCAGGATTTCGAAGGCGCTCAGTGGCAAAAGTGCAGTAGAGTTAAAAAATGTCTAACACTTGCCAAAGTTTTGGATCGCCCCTTGTATATTGGGTGGGGACCCTGCCCCCGTCTTTGACTCACTGAGAGGCACAGGCGAGGTGGGGTCTGCTCAGTAACACTGGGTTTGCTCCCCATCGGGGAGGGTCCTGGGAGGATGGGCGTCCACACCACTTAGATGTCCCGGAGCAGTGACGGGGACTCTGCCATCCTGGGGCCGCGCCAGGAAGGTGGCAGGAGGCCTCTGCCTGCAGTTCTGACAGCCAGGACTGGAGCCAGAGGAGGCCTCCTGGCCCGGCAGTTCAGCTCCACTTATTGTGGGGGTGGTGCTGTGGGGGGGGATCCCCATTCCTGCTCAGGATCCCCGGAGTGTCTGGGAGCAGTAGCCATCTGTCACCAGGTCAGGGCTGGGGCAGGAACAGACACACAAAGCCACCCTGCCTCAGCCTCCTGAAGGCCTGGGCACCTGGCTCAGCCCCACAGGCAGAGGGAGGCTGGACCACTGCACCCTGGGGCTCCTGAGCTTTGAATACCAGGAGGGGTCTTCTGCTGAGCCCCAGTGTGGCGACGCACAAGATGTGACCCTCAGGACCCTGCCCAGCTGTGCCTGCCCTGAGCCCCATAAGTGAGCCCGCAGCCTGCC